TTTCAGGCTGTACAAAGTGTACTAAATGACTGAGGTGTGTTTCAATGTTCCCAAGGCTTTCCAAACACACAAATCTAATCTTAGAATACAGAAATCCATTATAAAATTTTACCTTAAAACAAATTTCAAGATACATTTTTAAATGAAGAAAATGGACCATAATTCTTGATGTGTAAGATCATTCTATAGGTGTATTTATAAACTGGAAATAAGATCTCTGAAATGTTAAGAAAAATCACTGGATGATGTAATTTTACATTTATATTGTGCTTTTATAATATGTATGTAAAGAAAAAAGCTTGACATGTGCACACACACACAAACACACACACACACAATGCACACGCACAAACATAGAGACTACCCTGAGGAGAAATTAATCTGGTGTTTAAAATAATAAACAATTTAAGGAAATAAAACATGAAGTAGTTCTGTGGCTCTCCTTTATTGCATTTATGGAGAAGACTATGACTAATTCTGTTGGACTCAATCATTGTCTTTGTGCAAACTCTGAAGACAATTAGAGCAGTAGTATTCAAACTTAGTGCATATTAGAATCTCCTGGAAGACTTCCCACTGACTTTTTGATCCATAATTTTCTAGTAGGGTCAGAGCATTTGCATTTCTAACAAATTTATGGGTGATATTGCTGGCTTTATGACCATACTTTTGATGACTCCAAAATTTGTGGAGCATTTGAGATCTTAACTATCATCTAACACATAATTACATGGTAGGAAACAATCACCCACCACTACATTTACTTCACTGCTCGGTTTCCACAGTTGGAAGAATTTCCTGAGTCAAATTAAAAGTATTTTCTAACAAACATAAATGCTAATTAATTACATTTACATCTGTAGAGCTGGCACTTTATTTTATAAAACTTGAATTGGATTGAAAATTAATGCTTTCATTATACCTAAGGACTAGCTTAGATCCAAAACCTTTTTTTTATTTACAATATTATATTTCTGCTGCAAGGAATTTAAATTACAAGCCTTTTAAAAGTACTCAGCCATCAAATTCAACCTCCTAAAATGATTGCGTGTAACTTTGTGAGGCAATGCACTTAGATTCTGAATTAAGTTGCACATTAGAAGAGTAATTAGGGAGAAGATAGCCAGTGGGTCTAACAGTCACTTCTCTTCAATTTTCAGACACATTAATGTACATTTTTGTAACATTTTTTGGTTTCTGTTATGCAATTAAGTCCCTGGAATTCCATGAAATGTTATAATTGGTTAGAGATGGACTTAAAAAAAAGTCAAATAAATTAAATGTACTGTGCTCTGAAGATTTAACTACATACTTTTTACATTTCAAAATCCAACAGGCAAGATAAAGTGCAATATCTCCTTCCTAGAAAGGAGCTTATTGAATAACATAAGATGATGTGTAAAAATATCCATCCAGCACCTGGCACTTAGTAGTTCCTCATTAAAATCACATGATGTGTCTTGAAAACTCCAGGTGCCTGAGCCCCACTCTATACCAATTAAATTTGAATCCCCAAGGGTCAGAGATAGTTATCTATATTAAAAGACAAAGGAATGAACTCGAACACTCTCAGAGTCCTATTGGGAAAGAAATGAAAGAGAAAGAGATAGATTGACAAGTTGAAGTTTTCTATTGTTATCATCAGCCTGAAACAATGTTTATGAATTTCCCATAGTAATGTAGCATATGAATTGGGAGGCATAACACATGTCACTGTCCTTCACAAAGAAATTTGAGCCATTTTGGTATCTGTGACTGTTAACAAGGTCCCTGCTGGCTTATTAGATTTTCTATCCACAGGGAATCCTTGGACAAGAGTGAGGCAGTAACACATTCTCACTGTTAATGGGTGAAAATAGCCAGCCAATAAATTAATTTTATAGTCCATAGGAAAGGAGGTTCCTAAGGAATGTCAGCAAGTCGGTACAGACTCAAGTCAACTCTCATGTACAGAAAAAATACACACACTCAGGTTTTAAAATCCATGATATTTCAAATTCAATTCCTTGATTTCCTCAATTACCAGTTTGAATTTAGATGTGTTATTTAACTTTGATAAACTTAGGTTTTTCTCATCTGCCAAATTGGGAACGTAATAATATTTATATCATAAGTAGTCCTGGGATTCAAATGAGATCACATACAGTAAAGGTATTTGAAAAGCTTGCCATGTGAATTATCATATTACTACCCATGTGATGCCAAGAATTTCCTCTTTTGACTTGCTCTTCTAAAAGAGAATACAATCTCAGCAAGAGAAGCTACAGATTTGGTATAGTCATTTCTTATTTTCCCAAGATGATTTATCATCCGAAAATAAATCATATAAATATGTAAAATAGAAAATAATCTATTCACGTTTTTATATTATTCCCATCCATGACATTTTCTCTATTTTGTCACTTAAATATCAGAGTAGAGTGAAGGACCCTTATAGGTTTTATGGGAATATATGTATCTTTCCTTCCCAATTTCTATAGGATTGGGTAAAGACTAATAAGTATTTAATATTTGGTTTTCTTCTAAATACAAAGATGTACAGGCTCTTTTAAAAAAAAAAAAGTATTTTTATTGATTTCAGAAAGGAAGGGAGAGGGAGAGAGAGAAATATCAATGATAAGACAGAATCATTGATTAGCTGCCTCCTGCATGCCCCACACTAGGGATCAAACCCACAACCCAGATATATGCCTTGATCAGGAATCAAATTGTGACCTTCTGGCTCATAGGTCAACCACTGAGCCACACCAGCGGTCATGATTTAGTCAAGAATAAAACATGAAATTATGTGGAAAAAGGAATCCCCATAAAACTTCAGAGTATAATAAAGTGATTTTAATATGAATGATGGATAATAAGATATATTTTCTAAAAGTGATATGGAGTTCTTAGTTTTAAATTTTTACTTTTTGTAATATACCTGAAATTATATTCTCCAAAACTGTTTATAATTATGACTAAAACAATTTGGAATCCACTTAAAATTACATGAGAGCCTATATAAAATGTAGTATTAAATTTTCATTTGGTGCTACTCAAAAATAAAAGCTTGAAGACCATTGCTCTTTGATATGTGAATTATTGCTACACAGTAAAGGCAGTAACTATGCATTCAAGAGATTCAAGAACTTAAACTCTAAAATAAAACAGTCTTGTGTTCAACCTTAACTCTTTTTATTATTTTGCAATCTTAAACAAGCTACATGACCTCCCTAAGTCCCTTTTTAAAGTCTATACAATGAGATGATGAAGGATCATTCTGAAGGTTATATAAATTAATTATGTTTAATTTGGGGAAAAATTTCTGCACCTAATGAGTGTCATGCATAAAAGTTGTCATAGACAAGCAAATTCAGATGGAAGTGATTGTCCTTAGGCAAAGCTTCCTGAGGAGCCAGGGCGTTCTATGATCTCTCAGAACAGATTCAAAAAGCTCAAATAGCCGAAACCGATTTGGCTCAATGGATAGAGCTTCGGCCTGCGGTCTGAAAGGTCCCGGGTTCAATTCCAGTCAAGGGCATGATACCTTGGTTGCGGGCACATCCCCAGTAGGGTGTGTGCAAGAGGCAGCTGGTCGATGATTCTCTCTCATCGATGTTTCTAGCTCTCTGTCCCTCTCTCTTCCTCTCTGTAAAAAATCAATAATATATATATATATATTATATATATATATATAATATATATATATATATAATTTTTTAAGCTCAAATGGAGGGGATAAGTCACCAATTGAAGGGGGAGAAGTACTGTGAGCCAAAAGCATTTAATGCAAAAGTCAAGAACTGTACCTTTAAAAATGAAGAGGTGGATTACAAAATAATTTTATTTATTTATTTTTACAAAATAATTTTAATTGCATGAAATGTAACTAGACTCCCCCTGTCCAAATTGTAGTACCTTTACCATGTCTATCCTCCATCATCATCATTAGCAGCAGCAGCAGCATCCAGTTTCTGCTTGCTTGATTTTCCTAAATTCTGAAATTCAATAATATGCCTTTGTCCATATTCCCTCAACTGGGTTCCAGCATAGAATTTAACTTCCTTCTAACTCCTGTGAGTTCTGAGTCTTGAGTTCTGCTTATGTCTTATGCTTTGTCTGAATGGGCTCAAATAATATCTTACTAGACCTCTTCTCTGGGAGTGAGTGAGAAAGAATATACCAAGACCACTAATGTTGAAGCATAACTGAAATAAGTTAAAATCCCAACTTTACCACTCCCTCCGTAGCCTTGGGAAACTCAGCTCTTCTCTGAGCTTCAGTTTTCTCTTATTTACACTGGGGATAATAATTTATAATTGATGGAGTTACTGTAGATTGGCAAAAATATATCACAAAAACGCATTTAGCCCAATTGACATTCAGAAAATAATTGCTCTTATTAAAATTATTATTCCCGCTATTAGTATTCCTGATGCAATGAATGGAACAATTTAATAGTGTTCTGATGAACTTTGAAATGAGCATTTTGCAAAACAAAGACAATCTGACCTGATGCCCCCAGGCTGTTGACAATGCAGTGATGTGGAAGGTCACAGATATTATATTTTCTCTGAAACCAGAAAACAAAATTTAAAGTAACCAGAACTGGTATGCAAAAGGACAAATAACAGGCTAAGAAGATGTGCTCTAAGTATTGTTCCAGACTGAAGTGAAAACCACTATGCTGATTATTATTTAAAAGGTCTTACTACTTTTCAGTATCTAAAGGAGAAATAATAAGCAGAAGCAATAGGAAGGACCATAATTTGGCTCTACGTATTTCATCTAACAGTTGTACCCAAATTAATACCAATTAATTCCAGTAAGATTTATTAAATAAATGCTCACAGGGTATTCAGAATGTAAAGAATCCCAATACAGAATGAATTTTATAATTATTTTATGACTTTGAATTAAGCTTCCACTTCTAATTATAAAACAAATGAAATAATCACTTAGGTTTTCAATCATTAAGCCAAACTAACTCTCCCCGCCCCCAATTTTCTTTTTACCAACAGGATTTGCTAGTCCACTTACTGGGATAGCAAATGCCTCTCAAAGCAGTATGCACAATGCCTTGCACATCTATATGAATGGAACGATGTCTCAGGTGCCGGGATCTGCCAACGACCCCATTTTCCTTCTTCACCATGCATTTGTGGACAGGTTGGTGGACACTTCTTCATAAATCATGTGCATATTAGTGTAAAATGTAGTGTGACGTTAGCTGTTACTGAAAAGCTAAGGAGCTAAGTGGGGAGGAGGGGGGTCGTGTCTATTTTCTCAGATCAGGTTCTTCCAGAAACAGAATTAAACTAAGGATTTGAATGTTTTATGAAAATGTTTTATTATAGACAATCCAGCATGAGAAAGAGTAAAGCGGGTAGTAAGGAGGAGGAAGAGTACAATTTCAGTTGTTGAAGTCCCAGACTCAACCAAATCATGGTAGAGTATAAAGTATCTTCTCAGATTGTCTTGCTTTAAGACAAAGGAACTGAGTTTTTGAATTCCCATATTAAAGAGCCTTTGGCTACAGGTTGCCTTGAGGTAGGAGCAGGAAAGTTCCCAGGTGCTAGCCAATTCCAGGCAGGTTCCAGTGTCCAGTGGTCTTCTTCTAAAGGTTTCAGTGGCAGTGGTCAGGGTTAAAGCACATGGAGTCCGGAAGGTGGGCACAAAAAACTGGTGCAGACCTGATCTGCTGTCATATATACATGTGTTTTATTTTTCTCTTTCTGGCAATGGATGGTTACTTCATTTCCAACTTCAGACCTTCACATATAAACAGATATAGCCTTTGATTTCAACCATTTGCCTGAGCCTTTTATAAGCAGTTCTCCAGACAGGATGCATTAAGGCTCAAACATCCTGTTTAATGTGATTTAATTCTCCCAGAGTTTTTTTGTTGTTGTTGTTTTGGTTTTATTTTTTGTTTTGTTTTGTTTTCTCCCCTCTTAACCTTCTCCCATGATAGCAGAAAAGAAAGTATATAGAGAATGGTCAGCTCTCTTTTTCTAGAATTCAAGAAGAGAAAAGACAATAAAGCATCAAATTATGATAGACAAAAATAGGACTTTTTTTGTCCTTTCTAAGTTACTTTTATCACAACAGCAAATGAATTAAAAGCACAGATTTATAGCTATCCTGAAACTAATGCTGCCATTTTCTTCATAAATATAACAGTCTCTGTGTTTTCCAGTTGTAAAAATAAGAAAACCAAAACCAAAAACTAAATTTTTACTCATCACCATTCCACCTCTTGTTTTCAGGAATGTGGACATAATATCAAATAAGAAAGTAACTGTTAGTGTGGAAGATTATGAGAAAAAAATTTATTGCCTCTATGGCCACTCTAACATTATAAAAATTCATTAATATCCCAAGTCCAGTTTTATTCAGGAAACATTTAAGTAAGTGTATAAACACCAAAATTATGATAGTAATATCCTATCTAATAAAAGAGAAGCATGCAAATTGACCATACCTCTGCTACACCCACCAGCCACACCCACCAGCCAATCAGACCCGAGTATGCAAATTAACCCAACCAAGATGGTGGTTAATTTGCATTTCCAGGCACAGAGTGAGGACTGAAGACAGCATGAAAGGAAGCCAAACACTGCAGAAGGGAGGAAAGCTACAGAGAAGCAAGCAAGCAGGGTGGCGGAGTTGGCTGCAGGAAGCCCTATTGCAGGAATCTTCCTACATCGGGCCTCTAGTAAGACTATAACCACCCATACCCATATATATAAGAGGGAGGGAGTGGGTTAAATACACATCTTACCAGAAAGACATGTTGAAGTCTTTTTACCCAGTCATTTTTACATTTTACTGTCCTTGAGAGTTTTGGGCATTTTTAAATCTCTATCTCATGAACTTTAAAGAATTCTAGATTTCTGAGGTACATTGATGTCCTAAGCAAGGAATCATAAACTATGGCTAATGGGTCAAATCTATGTTTTACCTTCATTGTAAATAACGTTTTATTGAAGGATAGCAGAGCACTTATTTACATACTAGAGGCCTGGTGCATGAATTCATGCATGGGTGTAGTCCCTTGGTGTGGTTGGTGATAGAAGCCTATCAGGGGGCTGGCCCAGGAGAAGGGGCCCCAGGAGGTTGGCTGGCTGGGGGGAGGGACCAAAGGTGGTTGGTTGGCAGGCCCTACCCCCCAAATCAGGGGATGGGGTCAGCTAGAGGAAAGGGCCACAGGCAGTTGGGGTGGGCCAATTGCTCACAGACATCACTGGTTGTCAGCTGCAGTGCATGTCATAGCAACTGGTGGAGCTCCAGGTTGTTTGAACTCCCACTCAAGGGGACAATTTGCACATTAGCTTTTTATTATATAGGAGAAGAAAAAATGTTGACCTTTAGTTAGACAATCAAATGTGTGAAAAATGCCATAACTGAATTCAATACCTGGAATCAAGTTTGTTTAACAGAGATAGAGACCTTATGCAGATGTAAGGCTTTTAGATACTATTCTACCACCTTTGAAAATTAAAAATGTCTGTCCTCCCAGAATTCTTGGTTAAACCTATTTTAATATTAGATACCTGTGTGATTATTAAAATAACTCAGAAATCAGCCTGCAGCAAAGTATGTCTAATTGAAACCACACAGCCAAGCTAATGAAGATTCTGGGCATGTAGAGGGGAAAAGGAGCAGCATTATAAAGAAGGATAAAGACCCGTGGATACCACAGAATACTGTGGCATCTGAACTTGCCTTTCACATCTCTTCTTACAGAGACTCAGAGGTCTATTCACGGCCATTCAATTAGTCACAAATATATTTATTGAGCACCTACTATGTGCTAAATGTATTTGCCTGAATATTTTACATTCTTCCCTGCCTCCATGCAATGCTTACATTATATTCCATCCTGAAACCTGTTTTCCTTGATTTATCTAATTTCTACATAATCTTTAAGACTAGTTTTAATTTCACCTCCTCTATTAAGTATACCCAGACCATGCCTGTCTATAACCATATCTCCCATTAAGAATGTGTTGGAACCAGCTTACATGAGCTAGCAAGATCTAATATGTATATCTTTTCCCAACTTTGCTTTAGTGACTTCAAGCTGTAGCTTGAAATCAGCTATGGTAGGAGTATTTATACAATGAAATTGGCAAATGCTACAAATCAAGGCTTTTTATTCTGAGAGCAGGTTATTAAAATAATAGCCAACACACCACTGTTCTCCTCTATTAACTCACAGCAATTCCTCTCTTTACCCTTCATTTTGGACACATAGTTCACATTGTTCTTGTTGATTATGTTATTCATTTGTGTTTTGTCTCTCCCACTAATCTGTGAACTATTTAATGGCAGGACCCATGACCTTTTATTATATTCATTTTTCTCAGTATTTTGTCTAGTATATAATTAGTAGACATATAATTAATTCTTATCAGTAAATGATTTCTAAAAACCTTAGCAAATTACATTTATCACAGCTGCAAAAGGAACCTCTATGGAGGAGCCATTTTAATCGAAGAAATTATTTTCGTAACTCCTGAAGAGCAAAATGTAATAATCATTCAATGCTATGAACATGTTTTAAGATTTCAGCATGTCTCTATACTTTTAGATGTGGCATTAAGCACTGAGGAAACTGAATCATGAGATAGGATCACCAGCCTGAGAAAGCAGTCTAACGGGAGTATAACCAAATAAATAACTGCAGTACACTATGATTCCTGCACAGTCGTGGGAGATATTCTTAAAAAGTTATATAAAAAGGATGATATATGAACTGAGCCCTTAAGAAAAGAGGGTTTATAAGACAAGAATGGATATTCAAGGTTGAGAAGCACAACTCGTAACTCATTTTAAAAACCAATAAGAAAGTGGAAGTATGAGCTGAAGAAGAAAATGGAAGCATGACATTTAAAACAAGAAAATAAGCCTCAAAACTCATATGCAGAGAAAGTGATAAAAATTCCAGTGGACAAATAATCTTCCATCAAAAGCTACCCATGTTGGTCAAATAAAAACAGAAACTAAAAGTGTCTGATAACAGCAACAACAACAAAAATAGACCAAAACTACATAAACTAAATAAAATTCTCCTTGCCACTTAAAAAAAATCAGAGCATGGATCTAACATAATAATTTAAAATATATTTAATTTTTCCTATGTTCTAGACCCTATTCTAAACTCTTTATAAGTTTTGTTTCATGTAATCCATAACAAGTCTCTAATGTAGGTTCTAGTATTATTCCTACTTGATAGATTAAAAAGATTACAAGGCCTTGAACAGGGAGTATCCCAAACCCTTGCATCTCTCAGTGAGCTTTGGTTAGTAAACTGCTCTGAAAACCCCATGTTCTTGTCAGCCAAGTATCTAACACATGTTTCTTTACCTACCACCCAGTTTTGTTTAAAATACAGACAAAAAATAAAAAAAAATCCTTTATATTATAGGCAAATGTAATAAGCAATAAACCAAGAAAATAAGGCCATCAAAATTGAGAACACTTTGCTACAGTTTTAAAAACATTTTCTAATTTTTTTTAACTTAAGTATTATAAATCAGGTCAAATGAAATTCACTTTCCAAATTATGTCTCATATTATCTCTTTCATCTTTTTGAACTGACTTTTAAAGTATATATATATATATATATATATATATATATATAGTTGATTTTTTACAGAGAGGAAGAGAGAGGGATGGAGAGTTAGAAACATCGATGAGATCATCAATCAGCTGCCTCCTGCATACCCCCTTCTGGGGATGTGCCAGCAACCAAGGTACATGCCCTTGACTGGAATCGAACCTGGGATCTTTCAGTCCACAGGCTGACGCTCTATCCACTGAGCCAAACCAGTTCTGGCCAAAGAGACATTTTAAAACAGATTTCAGATGTTTCACAAGTTCAATAGACACTTTTATTATAATATTATATGTTCTTAACATGAAACATGTTTATAATTGCATATCTTTAGTTGAAACCATACAGATTTTTAAATAAGAATTTCATTGTATAGGTATGTCATAATTTAGTAATCACTTATTAAGGGGCAATTTAGTTGTTTCTCTCTCTCTCTCTCTTTTTTATTTCAGAGTGTAGCTAAAGAACATATTTTCAACACTGGAACCGAAAGGTGTTTATTACACCGTATTACATTTAAAATTGTTACGTATTTCCAAATTGCCT